GAATTCCCATCAGCTGACTCAAGCCCTGGCACACACGGGCACTCAGTGAACACCTGGCCCACAGCGCTCTCAGTGAATGGTAACTTTAGATTATTCACCGACCGGCCACAACCTGAAACACAACACTGCTGTAAGTCTCAGAGGTGCTGTTTCCACACCCAGAGGCCTTCTGAAGACAGACCCAAAAGGACTTCACTGTGACTCATCTGTCATGTCTCCAAAGGCTGGTGTCTGCCCTTGTCATCACGGAGACCACAAGTCAACCACTTGTCCGCTGTCCTTCTGAGCTGTCTGGCTTTTCTGTGAGGGCCTCCAGGCACTGGGCCATTTCCTCTGGAGTCCTTATTCCATCCAAGACCAAACAACAACAAAACCCTAATGATACAGCCCAGCAGAACAGAATAGAAAGGGCAGGGGAACGAGCCTGAGAACATACCCAGAACCCAACGCTTCCTGGCTCTCTGACTTGACCATTTTGCCCATATATCAGTCCCTCTTGGTTAATTATGCCACCCACCTCACAGGATTATGGTGAGCTTTCTATAAGCAACATATGCCAAAGCGCCCAACACATGGTAGGCACTCAGTAATTGTCCACACAGAAAAATCTCAAACATAAGCTGCCCAAATTTTGACGACTAAAGAACACACACTGATTTGCATCCAGATACCGCAGACTTTCTCTGAACTGGTGTCCCGAGAGGTGACCAGCTGGACCGGTCAACTCCCCATCTCCTCCATACGATGGTCTAAAGCACTCAACCCCTCAGAAGGCTCAGCCTGGCCCACTGCTGTCCAAGCCCTCACACCTGCCCAGGGACGCCTGTGCTTACTTGGAATTCACTGGCTTGATTCCCAACCATGTTTATGCAAATATACTGATAAATGGCAAACATAAACTTTAATGAAGTGTTATGTAAACAAAAGACATTTAGTGCAAAAGAAGTCACTCCTTGGAAAAACACGGTGACCACTCAGGAAATACTCACCAAAGACAGACCTCTTTAAAATCATCAAACTAGGGCGCCTGGGTGGCTCAGTTGGTTAAGCGACTGTCTTCGGCTCAGGTCATGATCCTGGAGTCCCAGGATCGCGTCCCGCATCGGGCTCCCTGCTCGGCAGGGAGTCTGCTTCTCCCTCTGACCCTCCCCCCTCTCATGCTCTCTCTCTCTCATTCTCTCTCTCAAATAAATAAATAAAATCTTTAAAAATAAATAAATTAATTAATTAAATAAAATCATCAAACTGGGCAAAAACAAAACCGTACGACATTAAGTGGGAATTGTTTAAAATCTAGAAGGTGCTCCATTCAGAATTCTTTGAAAGTCTCTTTGTCCTCCATTTGAAAGAAACAAATAGGAAATCATAAACTCTGGCTGTGGTTTAAGTCAACTTGGAACTCAAAGACAAGTCCTTAGCCCTGCATCCAAAACATGGTGAACACAAATATGTATGTGTTTATAAAATAAAACATTTAATAGATATCAGTTGTATGAGTCTCTAATTTATTTGACTTTTCCCATTACAGGGTCCCAGTCACACCAGCTGAGAGATACAGAAGAGATTTCTAGTTGAAACATATCCCAAAGTACTTCAAGGTACACGACCCAGACAAAGCAGGCTCTAATGCCTACATGTTATATCATCAACAGCATTACCCAAATTTTCTACAGTTCTTTAATTTGTAAAAATGCCTGTCCTCTTCACCTTCATAGAGTCATGGATGGACACCAATCCAGTGTCCTCAGGAATCTCCTGCGAGCAGCCTGGGTTCCAAGTCCACAGTAAATTCTGTGCATGCCCAAATATAAGGCAAGAGATTCCCCCCCCCCCAAAAAAAATCACTCAAAAAATTAGAATTGTCTTACATTAGGGTTCTTATGAAAGCATATTAAAAAGTACTCTTGAAATTACTCAATTTGGAACTACAAAACCCTTTTAAAAAAACATGTTGCCCCAAAACACCTCAACCAATGCTAGTTGGGGGAGTTATAGGGGTCACTTCACACAACTGTAAAAACAAAACAAAAACAAGTTAGGCTGAGAAACTTAGCACACATTTAGCAACTGCAATGGTTGGACACTTCTGTTAAAACAGGACTTTTTAAAAGATCACTTTCAGAAGCAACACATAACAGCAAGTATTTCCCAACAGGCAAACAAAAAAACCAACAGTCCTAACCTTAGGCAGTGGGTACCTGTAACTTGGTATAAAATTTCCAAGGGCAGCATAATTAACTGATTCAAAAAGTGCCGCATCTCAAATGGCTCAAGTGAAAGCAGAGCTGAGAGGTTCTGCTAACCAGGCTGGAACTCTGCTGAGAGGTTCTGCTAACCAGGCTAGAGGATTCTAGGTGGCTCTGCTGAGAACCAAAACCCTGATGAAAAAGATGCCAGTGAAGAGTGTGGAAAAATTATTTCATGAACTCCAAGTGAAACCAAAACAAGAATTAATCCATTTTATACATGATGCATTCCCAATGTCTAACTGTAAGTAAATGCACAATCTAAGCAGATATTTGTTTATCTACATACTTACAACATTTACATATCCCCATCGGTCCAAAAGAAGGTTTGAGGAGCATCTCACTAGGAAAATCGGAGACGGTCTTTCATTAACAGTCAACCTGCTACTAAGGCATATATGGTCTCTGCTGAATCATAACATAAGTGCCCATCTATTAAACAACATACAGCAACATCCAGCATTCAGCCTTGCTATGAGGAGTCAAAGTGATTCCAAAAGACAGTAAAGTACCAAAAGCATATTTGCAAGTAATTTTCAGCTGAAGCATTTGCCTGTCAAATTTTAGGGTTGCTTAAAGTCCAACACTCCATGCAGGACTTCTGGCTGCCCAAGAAGACTCCCACTGACTTATACATCAGTGAGTAAAAAGTTAGAAGATATTATGATCCTCACCTTCACTGATTTTGCCTTTTGGAAAATGATCAAATATTGATCAAAAATTGGATTTAATTCAGACTCTTCCTGGAACCCAAACTCAGTCCTAATGAGGTGGGCCTGTGAAGAAAGGGGTGAGGGTCACACTCAGCTAACACAATAAAAAGAAAGAAACTGTGTTCTAAAGTTTTCCTGAAGCTCAGACAGCCATAAACAGTCTGATGCTCCATATGCCTATAGAGAAAGTCCACCAATAATCCCAAGACCAGCCAACAAAAAATTAACTCCCTGTTACTGTCATTGCAAAAAGTTATCAGTTCAACCTCTGACAATATTTTTTACACCACAAATGCCACAGAGTTCTAGGAGCTGCCTCAGGCTACGGCCTTTCAAATTTCAGAGGTTACCTCTTAACCTCCGATCAAACACAATTCACATAAAATGCAGTGGAAGGACATCTGTAAATACACGCTCATCAGAACGTCCTAGCGTTTAACTATAAACATCATTCCACAAACCATTCAGTTCTCCGAGCAAGAGGTGGTAACCTGCTTATTCTGCAAATAAAGACCTTTAATTTTAATACCTTAGATGAAAACAGCAAGGACAGGAAGGAAAAGTTCAAAAATCAGGAACAAGCACACTCATAACTGGATTTAATCACAATTAAAACCAAAGAAAAACTACTTAACTACCTGCCCTCCAGCAGTGATCCCAGGCATAAATATTCCTTGAGTATTCTGACTGCCCATTATTCTGTATCCATAGGAAACACCCAGTTTGGCAAATTAGGGCATTTACCTCTAATGCTCAATACCCAAGGGCTTAAGTTCTTAACCTCAAAGATGTTGTAGTACTGAGTAATTCAGACGGTTAGAATTTTCCCAGCTTCTCTGTATTATACATATTGGAAGGATTATTTAAATGGTTTATGCACCACCAGCTTCTTAAACGGTCAAAAGTAGAGAAACAAGGTTGTGTTTTCTAAAATGAATGAAAATTACAACAGACCAGTAATGGGTTTTTTTAACCTTTAAATGGGATTTTCTACATTTAAAGAAAATATAAAACATGAGTACTTGCTTCTCACTTAACCCAGCATCCTGCAGGCTTTCCTCCCCCCTCCATAATAGTAACAGCAACAGAAGGTGTGAAAGGACACCTTCTAAATAACTTCTGAAACCAAATCACTGAAACCCCAAGATAAAGCCTTTCACTTAAATAGAAACAGTGAAAGACGTGGTACAATGTAGTTGCACAAAAAAACTCAAATAATGTCCCACCTGGGAATGCAACCCTGCCTGAGGGCCCACAAGAGGTCTAGGGCTTCCTGACAGACCAAGTCCAAGAAGGCTGGGCCAAATACTCCTTCCGCCTCCAGGAGAACTTCTTCCCTGCTGTTAACACGAGTTTGTAATTTATGTTCTTCCAACCCCCAGGCACACAATTCCCTCTGCCCAATCCTCTCTGGCCAGACACGCAGGCAGGAGGCCAAGAGTGTCCCCCCCCCCCCCCCCCCCCCCCGCCGCAGCCAGAACCCAGGAAACGCTAAACACTAACTTCACCGAAGGCCGGCAGAGGGTGTGTGCAGGGCTAGTCCGGGGGTCCAGAGGAAGAAGACTGTTTCTGGGTAGACGGGAGGGCCCAGCAAAGTTAAAAAGGTGGAGAAACAGGCCCTGCCAGCAGAGGGACTGTAGGGACGAGAGATTAGCAGGGGACAGGAAAGCAAGTCCACCCTGGGGCAGGATGGGGTGTCACCACATATGAACAAGTGGCAAGGTTCCCTAGGACTGCATGCTGGCACACAGCAAGTGCAGGTGGTGCGAAAAGGGATTCCAGAGAGGAGGACGGATGGACGGCAGGTGCATTTCAGAGGGAAAGGGGACGGAACTGCGAGGAGGGGGTGGGGGGGACACGGTGTCCAAGAGTTGGCAACTGGGACTTGAGGGGTTACACTCACGGAGTCCCTGGAGAAAAGCTAGTTGGAGAAAGAAGAGCAAGGCAAAGGCCATTGGGGGGCCACCTCTGGTCTCCCCTGCCCTTCATCACTGCCCCCTACACACACACTGTGGCGCCGCGCCGTGAAGCAGATACTCACCTTTGCCACGGGCGCGCTCCTGCTGGTCGCCAGCTCGCGCAGGCTGGCGGTGGCGCTGCCGGCCGCCGCAGGGAGGAAGACTGGGGAGCCGGGGGCGCTGCCCGCCGCGCTGCCCCCGCCACCCACGAGCGCCGAGGCCGCCCCCGAGCCGGAGCCGGGGCCGGGGCGCGCTGGCGGGCTACCGCCGGGGCTGGCGCCAGCGCGGGGCCGCTGGCGGATGCCGTCCAGCAGGCGCACCAGCAGGATGTTGGCGGGCAGCTCGTCCACGCCGCAGCCCACCAGGATGCGGCACTCAGGGCAGCGCAGTTCGTGGCGCGAGCACACGATGCTCTCCAGACAGCGGCGGCAGAAAGTGTGCTGACACGGCAGCACCTTGGCCGTGGTGTCCAGGCGCTCCAGGCACACCGAGCACTCCAGCAGGTCCAGCAACGACGACTCGTCCATGTCCTCGCCCGCCGCCGCCGCCGCCGTGGCCGCCGCCCGCCGCCGCCGCCGCTCACCCGGCCTGTCGTCGTCGCCCTCGCTCTGCGCAGCAGCGGCGGCCGCCTTGGACGCGCACAGCCAGGATGCTCCGAGCAGCATGGGGGAGGCGCCGGCGGCGGCCGCGCGCAGCTGCCTACGTCCCGGGGCCGGAGCGGGGCCCGCCGCGGGCAGCGGGCATCAGGATCGCGGGTTCCGCCAGCACTTCCTTCACCCGGACTGGCGGCCCGAGGCTCCGGCCGCGGCAGTGCCAAGTGCTGCGCTGATTGGCCTGCGTGGTGAGCACCGGAGTTCCGCGCCCCGCGAGCCAACTCCCGGCCAGCCGAGCCCACCCAGTCCTTCGGAGTGCGGCGCCCGCGTCTGCGGGTTACACCTGTCCTGCCGCCTGTTCGCCCCACGCCGCACGGGGGCCCAGGAGCACCGCCGGGCACAACACTCAGCCGGCGCTGCGCTCGCAGTGGCCACCCGCGGCCCCGAGCCCCGCGGCAGGAAGTGCGGGGAGCTGCCGCTCCGGTCCCCGGGGAGACCGGGGCTCAGCGTGCGCGCTCCCCCGCGCCGCTGGTGGGCCGCACCGCCCCCGCGGCGCCTCCATGCGCCCTGGGCCTGTCCACGAGTCCCTGCCCCCTACCCCGCAGCGGGTTCAGCTGGACCTTCCTCTTCCTCGGCCGCGAGCACGTGCGCGGGCAGCGCGCAGAGGTCACGGTCAGTGAGGAGCGCAGGAAAGGAGACGCTGCGCCCACTGGACCTCCCTACGCCTGGGCGCACACCGGCGACTAGTCCTGTCCCTTAGGGCACCTCTAGGGCTCCCGGGAACTCCGTGCGCGCCCTCCGGCGCAGGCTCGGCCCTGTCCCCTCCGGGCGCTTGGAGTCTTAGCTCCGGCTCTCGGCGAACCTCACAGAGGGATGCTTCGTCCCGACGCTGCCGCGAAGGAAAGTTTGGGCGGTGTTATCCCGACTGCCTTTCTCGCCAGCGCCGGCAAGCAGCTGGGAATAGGGCCAACACCCGGGCATCCTCCTCGACGACTCCCCGCAGCGCTCCCGGTCGGGTCCCCCTTCCAGGCGGTGCGCAGAAGTGACAAGCCTGGAGCTGCGGGTATGGGTGCGGGGACGCCCCGCGAAGCAGAAGGGAAAGGCGTTCGGGTTGGCTGAGGCGCCCTCGGACTCCTCCCGGCGGCAGCCCGCCCTCCCCGGAGTCGCTGGTCCGAGGCCGGCGCCGCTGCCCGCTGGACCCGCACCCTTGCGCAGGGCACCCGGCTCCGCGCCGCGCCCACTGCGGCGCAGTCTCGTGAACCCCGCTCCAGTTTCTCCTCGGGAGGCGCAGAGGAAGGGGAATTCGCGCTCTCCTTCCCGACGCCCCGGCTTCTGGGAGCGTCAGAGCAACGGAAGTACGTACGGAGGACCGGGAGCCGCAGGGAAGTTTGGCAGTGGGCTGGGGTCGACCGCGAAGATTTCCTGCAGTGCGCTGCCCCCTCGTGGCCGCTTCGGGTTCCCGGCGCTCCCTGTTCCCATCCTGGCCCGGCCCCGCACAAACCATGGGCCAAGGGCTAGATGCTACAAAGCCAGATAGTTTTGGGGTATTTGGGGTATTTTTTTTTAAGATTTTATTTATTTATTTGGGAGAGAGCGAGCGAGCGAGCAAGAGAGCACAAGCAGGGGGAGACGCAGAGGGAGAAGAGAAGCAGGCTCCCCGCTAAGCAGGGAGCCTGGTGCGGGGCTGGATCCCAACACCCCGAGATCATGACCTGACCCGAACCGACTGACCCACCCAGGCACCCCAAAGCCAGATAGTTCTTGCTAGGGCTAATAGCAGAAGAGGTGTTGAGGGCCCGCCTACCAGCCAAGCTAACCTGTGGTTCGTGAAATTAAGAGTACCTTTTTTGACTTTTCAGGGAGAAAGTAATATTTGTTGTGGCTTAAATGCCAAGAACGTGCCTATGCATTATTTCTTTTTAATCCTCTAAACAGCCCTGTGACATAATTATTTTAACCTCATTTTACATGTGAGGGAGATAAGGTTTATAGTTATGAAATCATTGAGGCTGAATTTTGTTAATTTTTGTGTCTCCAGAACCTAATACATACTAAGATCACATTACATTGGATTATGGAATATGGAGCTTCCCTATAGGCTACATATTTTTACTCTGTAAGATCCCCAGGGCAAGGGCAGTTCTTGGCACATAGTATGTGCTCAATGAAGATTTGTAGAAATAATGAAATAAAGGTCTCAGAATCATCACCTAATGTTGTTTTGAACATGCATCTTAACATCTCAGTTCCAGGTATCCTGAGCTCATACCAGGTTGCCAGTTCCTAGAAACCTGGCGAGCTACTTTGTGGATGTCTTGATGGTGTGGATTTCAGTATGTATTATTCACATGAGCACTGGCTACCCTGTGAGATGGATGGCATCCCTGAGCTGCCTGGCTGTCTGGAACCTGGGAGCAGACTTCCCAGGAGGGCCAGAGGCCATGTCACAGTGCCCAGAAGCACCTTCACATTTTCCTCCTTTTACTCTTGGACTCTCCCTCAGGAACAACAAAGGGAAATTCTCAAGAGAACCCACAGAATGTTTGATCCAAAAGCAGGTGGCATGCCAGAAACCAAACCAGGTTTAAAATGAGGAGAATAGACTGAGAATCAGGAGCACCTCACAGGACCCCAGGTTAAGAGCTGGACCAGCTTATTGCAGAGGGACCACAATGTGTCTTGCTCTCCATTCTTCTCTCTATGATGTTATGCTCTTTCCGTCTCTTACACCTGCTGCCTCTACTTTCCCAACCCACATGAGAGGAAACACTGTCAAAGCTCCAAAAGCATTTCATCCGATGGCTTCAGTCACTGAAAAAAGATACTCATCTGATGCTGTCATGGGCTGGAAGTTTTAAAACCCTATCATCTAGCTTGGCCCAGATGGTCACTCTCTGGACCACAATGTGCTGGCCACAGGAGCAGGATCATCTAAAACCTGGCAGCACACTCAGGCATCACACAGGAGGAGAGGTAAGAATTTCTAGGATAAGGGGCATGCCATGCAGACAGGACAATAGACGCACATGCCAGGGACCCAGAGTCACCCTTCTGTGCTCAGCTTCCCTCTCTATGTGCTCAATGAAGATTTGTAGAAATAATGGCCTCTATGGCCAAAATGGCCTCTATGGAGGCCATGCAAAAGCAAGTGCAGGGCCACTGAGCCCCACCTTTCTCAGACCTCCTCTGCTTCTACTCTACCCCTTTATAACTCCTGCCTTAACCAACTCCCACAGCAGACAGGTTGCAATCCCAAATGTACTCAGAGGCAACACAGGGCATGGAAATTCATGAAGCAGTGCAAAGTGGATGAAGCAATAGAGCATAGCAGGGCCTGCACCTTGCAAAGGGGGTAGTGTTACTCAGCTCCAGCCAATCACATGTGGCCTCGAGAAAAGGAGGGCTTAGTATTGCCAGATCTTCCTACTTTTCAAGAGAAGTTGGAAGGCCTGCTTTTTTATGTGAGATCTCCTGATGTTCAATAGTTGGCAACCGATTCAGTTCTCAAAAAAAACACACCATATTAGCCAAACAAAATGAATGCATGGCCAAATTGGCCCACAGGCCACCAGCTTGCAGTCTGAGATTGAAGTAGCCAAGTAAAATGTACTACAGTGTAAAAGAGCTTAAGGGTGTGAACTAAATAGTTCAAGTATTACAAATACAGTGTTATATTACTCAGTTAAATGTGCACATGTTCAATAAGGCAACTATATAAGTCAATGATTGAGAAGACCTGGCTTAACAGCCACTCATAGGAAAAGATCTTGGGAATTGAATCGACCACAAGCATAATGTGAGCCAACATGAGTCATCAACGTAGTATGACTGCCTAGAAAAGTAATGAAATCTTATGATGCATTAATGGAAGTTAAGGGACTGAATATGGAAAGAAATAATCGCATCATACCTTGGGCTTGTCAGATCCCATTTGCAGGATTACTGTCAATTCTGGATACCAAATATTAATGACAGGTGGTAATTGGATCTAGAAGCCTCACCCATGAGTTTAGGATGAAGGAAGAGGTGTCTGTCCAAAGAAGAGAAAGCTCAGAGGAAACAGGATGGGTTGCTGTATGTCAGGTTTTTGGCTGCCCAAGATCTGAACTCCTTCTTAGATTTGGGAGATTATCCACTTGGGGAAATTTGTTTTTCCAGCTGGGGTGTGGGGATGTGACCCAGGCTCTGCCCATTGAGAGCTGCCCCCATCCCCCATGCCCTGAGAGGTGGAAGGAGTGTGGCAGATGCAGTATCATGGAGTTCCAGCTGCAGGGGCACGTCGGGGAGGACAGAGGGGCCAGCCAGGTGGTATCTCGAGGGGAGGGGACAACTGTTGTCACCAGACCAGCCCCGGGCATGATTGGCATGGTGAGCCTGGGCATGGCCCCACTGCTTTGCCAGACTTCCTGGTGATCCTGTGGATGTCCCAGTTTTCCTTAAATAGTTCCTTTTTTAGTTAAATCAGCCAGAGTCTGTCGCTCTTGTTTGTAACAGGGTACTCTAATTGATACACATTATCTATTATGAAACAGAGACCGGTGAAGGCCCTCAATATGAGACAATTGTCACTATGCTGAACAGCAAGTCCTCTTGGCTTTCATGCTGGAAAGGTATCCAAGGGAGCCACCCAGAGCACCGTCCATTCGTTCCACAAACAGTTCCTGCGTGCATTGTACATCAGGTGCCAGGTGAGAGCAGAGCCTGCAGACCAGGACCGGCAGTGGGGTGCAGTGAGATGAGCCTGTCTCTGTGTATGCAGGAACCCTAACGGGGCCAACTCAGGCAAGTGAAATCCCTTCTGTGAACCTCACCTATGTCTTGTATAAACTGGCAGGCAAAAATATCTCACCTCTTTAGAGGCTTTGAGGCCCTGAAATTTCTAAGATTAAATGAAATATTAGAAGGGATATTGGTTTTGCCTTGTTATTAGGAAGAAAACTAAAATGAATTAAAGTTACAGGGAGGCAGTTTCCAGTGAAACATAGAGAAGGGTTTTTTAATAAGGCTGAGTTGTCCAACAACAGCATCAGCAGTCCTATGAAGTAGGAGCCCCAAAAGAATTCAGGCACAAATTATGTGTGTAAAGAATCCAGTAAAGCACCTCTGGTCAGCCCAGCACTGCCTGCTTTGGGGAGCCCCCATCCCTGGTCCACTTGACCGCTCACTGTGCCTGCACCTGTGTCCCCAACAGACCTTGTGGTCAAAGCTGGCCAATCAGAATCGTTTGTCCCTTAGATGATCAGTTCAGGGCAAGAACTTTTTTTTTTTTTTTTTTTTAAGATTTTATTTATTTATTTGACAGAGAGAGATGCAGCGAGAGAAGGAACACTAGCAGGGGGAGTGGGAGAGGGAGAAGTAGACTCCCCGCTGAGCAGGGAGCCCGATGCAGGGCTTGATCCCAGGACCCTGGGATCATGACCTGAGCTGAAGGCAGACGTTTAACGACTGAGCCACCCAGGCACCCCAGGGCAAGCACTTCCTAGCAGCACCTGAGATTTGGCATATAGATATAGATATTGAAGGAGAGGGGGTTCTCCCTTCCTTTTGGATTCTGAACCTTAAAGATACAGACCCTAGGATTTCAGTGGCTACCTTTCCTTTCACGTGTGAAGGCCTGCTAGAGTGGGTAGGAGTCCATGAATGAAACTATACCTAGAGCATACATGAACCATTATAACGCTGTTTTTACTTAAGATGGTTTGAGCTGGATTTCTGTCACTTGCAACCAAGTGAATTTCACCCAAAACATACCATCCTGTGGCTGCCCAGACCCCATCATTAACCTAAGTGCCCAAGTTTAAGACAGGAGCCCACCCTGGAGGCCTCCCTCAACTCAGGCCCTTATATATACCTAGTTACCAATTTTTTTGCAGGTTCCTAACATCATAATGGATGTGTATCCCCCAAGTGCTTCCCATTTCCATTTCTTCTCACCATCTCTAACTGGACCATGGCGCTTCCTTCCATAGCCTCCCCTCCTCCCATCTGCTCCAGATCTATGCTGCGGAGCCAGCCTTGCTTCTCAGTGCAGGGCTTCTGCCTTCTCCCAGCTGGTTTTCCATGGGCTGTGACTCTTCATCTTCCAAGCTCTTTCCCAAACTTGCACCTTCTTTCCCATGCATGTTACTTGTGCTGTATCTCTCTTCCTGTGGAAACCCATCTATCTCACAGACCACCTCCTCCAAGAAGCCCTGCCTGATAGCCTCTCTTTTGAATCCACTTGGCCCTTTCCCCTGCATCTTTTGTATTCTTCCCTACCTTTATATTTATGTTGTAGCAGTCTTTTAGCCCCTACCAGCCTACAAACTCCTCAAGGGCAAAGACTGTATTTTATTGGTCATTATGACCTGTCAAAAATGTTCTGAGCAGAGTAGGCATTTAATAAAAATCTGCA